CTAACTTGGCACTTAAAGCAAGAGGCTTACGACTCCACTTTTTATCATAGCTAAGCTTAGATGCCATTGTCAATGAGAGCCAACTAGTTAACGAAAGAGTAAACGAGAGACAGAATGAGATACAGAGTTGAGACAATGTAAGAACACAAACTGAACAGGTACTGGGCGATCACTTGGTCAGGCAAAATAAATGCGTACTAATATGTGTCTACTTTTAGTTCATTCACGTACGTTAGTAAGTTTGTAAAACATTTACCTCAATATTTTTATTATAATAATAATTACCTCAAAATACAAATACTCTTACATTGTGTACAAGTTATACAAGTTAGTACAGAATAAACAAACCAACACACCATTTTTCGAGTGAATGAAGATATTATTATTATCATAATAAAAAGCACTAAACCCATGTATCCTAATCTTAAAATAATAATTCCAAACTAATCATAAGTTTGCCTGTGATACTCCAATATAGAAACTATGTATTGTGCCAAAACAAAAGCATTCACATTGCAATACTCACAAACTAGTATTTGTCACTTAGTATTTAGCCAACTTACACCACAATTTGTTATAATTTAGGGTTAAGAATTAATCTAAGTTTGCCCGAAATGCCGAGCCATGCTAGGTGTTCTAGTGGCCCCCTCTGTAATTATTATTTTACTACATGTAAACCACACAGTAACCAAAATCTGTTAACCCTGCATTGTAATCCTTATAGACAATAAACTTTGATTTGATTTGAAGGGTCATGAATTGCTATATATAGAGTGAAGGCATACGAAAAGAATATTTTTCTACAGTTATCCCCCAGTTTGACTAGAGAAAATGTAATTCTTCCGACACTACCTACACATCCGCTTTGTAAACAAATCTCGTATTTACGTAAATTTTTATTCTGAGTGTATCTATCATGTTTATATGCTATGTAACGGGTTTCATATATAATTTTGAGCAAAATATCATGGATGGATTAATGAAAATGCCTATATTAATGTAAAGTAAGACATTTAATGTGCCCAAGAGTGGTTATTATTACATAGTATTGCCGTCACGATAGCGATTTTAATGTGTACCTGCACACCAGCACAGTGTAAGTATATTTAGGTACAGGTACACGTAAGTATAATTATCAGAGTACATATAAAATACGCAGTAACTTTAAAACACTTGAAATTTTCAAAAGTTTCCTGACATCACAGATGTGGTCACGGAGAATATATTATTACATGTATTATTATTATAATCAAGGGGGAAGCGCTAAACCCGGAGGATTATACAGCGCCTGGGAGGGAGATATGGAAGGCATTCAGGCTTAATTCGGGGAACTGGAGCACAGATCCAATTCCCTAAATCAAGAGCCCCTCACCAACATCAAAGAACCTTCCTTGAGGGGCACGGAGAATATAAACAAACCGTATAGCAAATTTTTGTCATAATATGACATCCCCGTATTAGCGGAACGCCGTAAAGCGGGGCCCTACTGTATACACAAGGATATCTACTCTCTTCCTATTAGTTTTTTTAATAATCATCTTGATATATTTTAGTGCAGTAGAGTTTTTCATTAAAGGTAACTATTCCTCATGTATATGGGAATACTTATATTATTTAAAAATAATTTTCAAAGCATTTCCAATTCTACGAGACATCAAATAGTTTTTATGGCCAGGAAAATTAGACGTGACAAAGGTTAATTTTTGTTTATTCAAAACTTCATAACAGCTTTAGTACATATAAATAAATGAAAAATAATATCGTTCCATATGTTGAACCCATATTCAAGCACAAAATTCCCAAATCTTCCAAGTGAAATTTGAAAAAAAAAATCCAAAATGTCATTTAACAAATATACATACTATATATCAGCATTTTACTGATATTGCACTGTCAAAAGAAATTATAAAAGTAATTAATGAAAGAGTTCAGCTATATTGTCAACTATTACACAGAAATTAACATAAAAGGTTGTTAACCTTTTAACTGTAACTGCGTTGATCTATGCATCTCCACAAACAGATCAATGCATTATTTTTCCTGCATTCAAATTCTGTGCCAGAGGCTAATATGCCTAGGTAGTAGAGAATGGGTCTGTGTACTTGGTGTGTTATTTATTTTATTATCACACCGGCCGATTCCCACCAAGGCAGGGTGGCCCGAAAAAGAAAAACTTTCACCATCATTCACTCCATCACTGTCTTGCCAGAAGGGTGCTTTACACTACAGTTTTTAAACTGCAACATTAACACCCCTCCTTCAGAGTGCAGGCACTGTACTTCCCATCTCCAGGACTCAAGTCCGGCCTGCCGGTTTCCCTGAATCCCTTCATAAATGTTACTTTGCTCACACTCCAACAGCACGTCAAGTATTAAAAACCATTTGTCTCCATTCACTCCTATCAAACACCCCTCACGCATGCCTGCTGGAAGTCCAAGCCCCTCGCACACAAAACCTCCTTTACCCCCTCCCTCCAACCCTTCCTAGGCCGACCCCTACCCCGCCTTCCTTCCACTACAGACTGATACACTCTTGAAGTCATTCTGTTTCGCTCCATTCTCTCTACATGTCCGAACCACCTCAACAACCCTTCCTCAGCCCTCTGGACAACAGTTTTGGTAATCCCGCACCTCCTCCTAACTTCCAAACTACGAATTCTCTGCATTATATTCACACCACACATTGCCCTCAGACATGACATCTCCACTGCCTCCAGCCTTCTCCTCGCTGCAACATTCATCACCCACGCTTCACACCCATATAAGAGCGTTGGTAAAACTATACTCTCATACATTCCCCTCTTTGCCTCCAAGGACAAAGTTCTTTGTCTCCACAGACTCCTAAGTGCACCACTCACTCTTTTTCCCTCATCAATTCTATGATTCACCTCATCTTTCATAGACCCATCCGCTGACACGTCCACTCCCAAATATCTGAATACGTTCACCTCCTCCATACTCTCTCCCTCCAATCTGATATTCAACCCTTTCATCACCTAATCTTTTTGTTATCCTCATAACCTTACTCTTTCCTGTATTCACCTTTAATTTTCTTCTTTTGCACACCCTACCAAATTCATCCACCAATCTCTGCAACTTCTCTTCAGAATCTCCCAAGAGCACAGTGTCATCAGCAAAGAGCAGCTGTGACAACTCCCACTTTGTGTGTGATTCTTTATCTTTTAACTCCACGCCTCTTGCCAAGACCCTCGCATTTACTTCTCTTACAACCCCATCTATAAATATATTAAACAACCACGGTGACATCACACATCCTTGTCTAAGGCCTACTTTTACTGGGAAAAAATTTCCCTCTTTCCTACATACTCTAACTTGAGCCTCACTATCCTCGTAAAAACTCTTCACTGCTTTCAGTAACCTACCTCCTACACCATACACTTGCAACATCTGCCACATTGCCCCCTATCCACCCTGTCATACGCCTTTTCCAAATCCATAAATGCCACAAAGACCTCTTTAGCCTTATCTAAATACTGTTCACTTATATGTTTCACTGTAAACACCTGGTCCACACACCCCTACCTTTCCTAAAGCCTCCTTGTTCATCTGCTATCCTATTCTCCGTCTTACTCTTAATTCTTTCAATTATAACTCTACCATACACTTTACCAGGTACACTCAACAGACTTATCCCCCTATAATTTTTGCACTCTCTTTTATCCCCCTTGCCTTTATACAAAGGAACTATGCATGCTCTCTGCCAATCCCTAGGTACCTTACCCTCTTCCATACATTTATTAAATAATTGCACCAACCACTCCAAAACTATATCCCCACCTGCTTTTAACATTTCTATCTTTATCCCATCAATCCCGGCTGCCTTACCCCCTTTCATTTTACCTACTGCCTCACGAACTTCCCCCACACTCACAACTGGCTCTTCCTCACTCCTACAAGATGTTATTCCTCCTTGCCCTATACACGAAATCACAGCTTCCCTATCTTCATCAACATTTAACAATTCCTCAAAATATTCCTTCCATCTTCCCAATACCTCTAACTCTCCATTTAATAACTCTCCTCTCCTATTTTTAACAGACAAATCCATTTGTTCTCTAGGCTTTCTTAACTTGTTAATCTCACTCCAAAACTTTTTCTTATTTTCAACAAAATTTGTTGATAACATCTCACCCACTCTCTCATTTGCTCTCTTTTTACATTGCTTCACCACTCTCTTAACTTCTCTCTTTTTCTCCATATACTCTTCCCTCCTTGGTGTGTGCCATATTAAAAAAATCTATGACCTTGTAGTACCTTGTGGGAGCACCTATTCATTTTAGCACCAGCTACAACAATCAGCATGGCAAACCCTAGGGATTCACTCATGCACTGTCATATTAATACACACTCCTTTTCAAGGAAAGTGATGTTGACCCCAGATGTGGCCCCCAATTGATTGAGAAAATACTGAAAACCCTGATGACCCACAGCCAAACACCTCTGGGGTAGGAAGAATGGCAACACAGAAGCAGCAGCCAGTGTGTGGAAGCACCTGACCAATTGCAGCTTAATAATCACTTCCTCATACCACTACCATCTGCCCAAAAAAAAGAAGTATTTTCAAAAAAGGCGAATTGTGTGTGCCCACAGGACAAGGCAACCCCAACAGCGAAAGGACACAGGATACATGTGTGAGCAATGTGGAATGCCTGTCTGACACCGTGCTTCAAAGAGTTTCATACAGTCAAGCACTTCTAAAGACATTCCTGGGACCTATAAATAATTTGTAAATATGTAGGAGAGAGGGAGATTATTTCCCAGTAAAAGTAGGCCTTAGATAAGGATGTGTGATGTCACCATGGTTGCTCAATATATTTATAGATGGACTTGTAAGAGAAGCGAATGCTCGGGTGTTGGTAAGAGGTGTGAGATTAAAAAATAAAGAATCTAACACAAAGTGGGAGTTGTCACAGTTGCTCTTTGCTGATGACACTGTGCTTTTGGGAGATTCTGAAGAGAAGTTGCAGAAGTTAGTGGATGAGTTTGGTAGGGTATGTAAAAGAAGAAAATTAAAAGTGAGTTTAGGAGAGTAAGGTTATTAGGATTGCAAACAAACAAAAAAAAAAAAATAGATAACAAAAGACTGGATATCAGATTGGAGGGAGAGAGTATGGAGGAAGTGAATGTATTCAGATACAGTGGACCCCTACCTTACGATGGCATCGCATTACGTTAAATCCACCATACATTTTGACGCAAAAATTTTGCCTCGCCTCACGCGATTCATCTGGGACGCGTCCCACACATGGCCTCGGCTCCCCCGTGCGTGCCAGTGTTTACAAGCCAGCCACCGCGGTCGCATCCAAGCATACAATCGGAACATTTCATATTATCACAGCGTTTTTAGTGATTGTACCTGCAAAATAAGTCACCATGGCCCCCAAGAAAGCTTCTAGTGCCAACCCTACAGGAAAAAGGGTGAGAATTACTATGGATATGAAGAAAGAGATAATTGCTAAGTACAAAAGTGGAGTGCATGTCTCGGAGCTCGCCAGGTTGTATACCAAACCCCAATCAACCATCGCTACTATAGTGGCCAACAAAATGGCAATCAAGGAAGCTGTTCTTGCAAAAGGTGCAACTTAGTTTTCGAATAAGAGATCGCAAGTACTCGAAGATGTTGAGAGACTTTTACTGGTGTGGATAAACGAAAAACAGACAGCAGGAGATACCATCTCTCAAGCGATCATATGTGATAAGGCTAGGAAGTTGCATGACGATTTAATTAGAAAAATGCCTACAACTAGTGATGATGTGAGTGAATTTAAGGCCAGCAAAGGTTGGTTTGAGAGATTTAAGAATCGTAGTGGCATACATAGTGTGATAAGGCTGCCAGTTCGGACCAAAAAGCAGCTGAAAAATATGTGAAGGAATTCAAGGAGTACATAGACAGTGAAGAATTGAAACGTGAACAAGTGTTTAATTGCGATGAAACAGGCCTGTTTTGGAAGAAAATGCCAAGCAGGACCTACATTACTCAGGAGGAAAAGGCACTCCCAGGACATAAACCTATGAAAGACAGGCTTATTCTCTTGATGTGTGCTAACGTTAGTGGTGATTGGAAAGTGAAGCCTTTATTGGTGTATCACTCTGAAACTCCCAGAGTGTTCAGGCAAAACAATGTCCTCTTGGCTAATTTGTGTGTGCTGTGGAGGGCAAACAGTAAGGCATGGGTCACTAGGGACTTTTTCTATGACTGGTGACACCATGCATTTGCCCCCACTGTGAAACATTACCTCCTGGAAAATAAATTGGACCTTAAGTGCCTCGTGGTATTAGACAATGCTCCTGGTCATCCTTCAGACTTGGCAGAGTGACTTTCTGGGGACATGAGCTTCATTAAGGTCAAGTTTTTGCCTCCTAATACCACTCCTCTCCTGCAGCCCATGGACCAGCAGGTCATTTCAAACTTCAAAAAACTCTACAAAAAAGCTGTTTCAAAAGTGCTTTGAAGTGACCTCAGACACTCGATCGACTCTAAGAGAGTTTTGGAAAGATCACTTCAGTATCCTCAGTTGTGTAAGGCTTTGGAGGGAGTGACTAAGAGGACCTTGAACTCTGCTTGGAAGAAACTGTGGCCAGAATGTGTAGACAAAAGGGATTTTGAAGGGTTTGAGGCTAACCCTGAGAAGTGTATGCCAGTTGTGGAATCTATTGTGGCACTGGGGAAGTCCTTGGGGTTGGAGGTTACTGGGAGGATGTGGAAGAGCTGGTGGAGGAGAACAATGAAGAACTAACCACTGATGAGCTGCAAGATCATCTTCAACAGCAAGAAGCCAGACCTGGGAAACTGCTTCGGAGGAGGGGAGAGAGAAATTTAAGAAGTTGTCTACTTCAAAGATTAAGGTAATGTGTGCAAAGTGGCTTGAAGTGCAAACCTTTATGGATGAAAATCACCCTCACACAGCTATTGCAAGCCGTGCTGGTGACTATTACAATGACAATGTTGTGAACCACTTTAGACAAATCATAAAGGAACGAGAGGTACAGAGCTCTATGGACAGATATGTTGTGAGACAGAGGTCCAGTGACTCTCAAGCTGGTCCTAGTGGTATCAAAAGAAGGGAAGTAACCCCGGAAAAGGACTTGATACCTCAAGTCCTAATGGAAGGGGATTCCCCTTCTAAACAATAACAACTTCCACTCTCTCCCCTCCTCCCATCCCATCAATCATAACCAGATCTTCAATAAAGTTAAGTGTCATGTATTCTGTTCTTAGTAGAGTATTAACTGTGCATGTCTTCTTCAGTTTGTGTGTATTAAAATTAATATTTCATGTGGTAAAAAATTTTTTTGTTCATACCTTGGGGTGTCAGGAACGGATTAATTTGATTTCCATTATTTCTTATGGAGAAAATTAATTCGCCTTACGATAATTTCGGCATACGATGAGCTCTGAGGAATGGATTAATATCATAATGCGGGGGTCCACTGTATTTTGGAATGGACGTGTCAGCAGATGGATTAGGTGAATCATAGAATTGACGAGGGGAAAAAGTCGAGTGGTACACTGAGGAGTCTGTGGAGACAAAGAACTTTGTCCATGGAAGCAGAGGGAAATATATGAGCGTATAGTTATACCAATGCTCTTATATGGGTGCAAAGCATGGGTGGTGAATATTGCAACAAAGGGAAGGCTGGAGGCAGTGGAGATGTCATGTCTGAGGGCAAAGTGTGGTGTGAATATAATGCAGAGAATTCATAGTTTGGAAATTAGGAGGTGCAGGATTACCAAAACTATTATCCAGAGGGCTGAGGAGTGATTGTTGAGCTGGTTCAGACATGTAGAGAGAATGAACAAAATAGAATGACTTCATGAGTGTATAAATCTGTAATGTAGGGAAGGCAGGGTAGAGGTCAGCCTAGAAACGGTTGGAGGTAGGGAGTAAAGGAGGTTTTGTGTGCGAGGGGCTTGGACTCCAGCAAGCATGCGTGAGCATGTTAGGAGCGAATGCAGACAAATGTTTTTAGGACTTGACGTGTTGTGGAGCGTGGGCAAGGTAATATTTATGAAGGGATTCAGGGAAACCAGCAGACCAGACTTGAGTCCTGGAGATGGAAAGTGTGTTAATGTTGCAGTCCTATAACTGTAGTGTAAGCATACCTCTGGCAAGACAGAGGTGTGCTTACACCTCTGTGTTACACCCTGCCTTGGTGGGAAATGACCGATGTGTTAATAAAAAAATACAAATTGTCGAAAAATAGTATGTGACTGAGGCAGGTTGACATTTTCACCTGTCAGTATGAAATTATGTATCTGTGACTGTTTCATTACTATTCATGTACGTAATATTTGTCAAAATAACCAGTATCTATGAAATAAGATTTACTCTAAATTGTCTATATCTGAACACAAAAAATGCGCAAATTAAAAAAATGAGGAAAAACAAGTTATCTGAGAGATTCCTGCAAGCGGGAGGACTCCCTGTTGCTGTCACATGAGCACCCAGTGCCAACTTCACCGCCTTATATCTTGATAAGTACTGACCCTAATTTTTTTTTTATTAGAACACTCAAAAGACCTCTTTTTTTTTTTTTTTTTACAAAATCTTTTTTTTAAATATTTACAGTGCTAGCAGTGATGCATAGATTAACACCACGACAATTAAAGGATGCACAGGAGAAAATAAAATTCTTATATGGTCAAAAGTATTTTCCTTATTAGTTTATTCTTCCTCTTTATTGTACGAGCTAGCAGGTGCTTTCTTAAAAGTGATGGCTATTTCCTTCACGACTGGAGTTAGAGTTTCAAGCTGGAGTCTTACTTCACTCTCTGCCTCCAAGTCACTCTTGCTTGTTAGAGATTTAATCACTAAATCTGTAATGATAAATAGATATAGAATATGACTATTTCATCACCGAAGTTTATCATTTTCTAAAGAGTAATATACTGACAAATCAGCATTGGAACAAAATATTAATTAAAAAAAAATTGGGTTTAGATTTTATTATAATGCTATGCTGCAACTTTTTACTATTATCTCTTGCAAAATCATACCCAACTTTTACATAATCTTGCAAATTCTGAATCTAGTAACAGCTATTACTCCATAATATTAAGGCTTCTGGCAGTTGAAACACCTAAAGCAGAAAACAACAGCAGCAGCAGCAGCATTCTGAAAATTAAGTGTGCTAAAGAACTGAAGAAAAATTATCTGACAAAACTGGACACATAATAAGTGATGGTACCCAATTCTATATGATAATTTCAGAGTGTTGGAGTGGTTGGTATTTTTGTTTAATAAGTGTATGATTTGGGGAAGGTACCTAGGGATTGACGGAGAGCGTGTATAGTCCCTTTATATAAAGGGAAGGGGACAAAAGAGATTGTAAAAATTATAAAGGAATAAGTTTACTGAGTATACCAGGAAAAGTGTACGGTAAGGTTATTACTGAAAGAATTAGAGGTAAGACAGAATGTAGAATTGCGGATGAGCAAGGAGGTTTTAGAGTGGGTAGGGGATGTATAGATCAAGTGTTTACATTGAAGCATATATGTGAGCAGTATTTAGATAAAGGTAGGGAAGTTTTTATTGCATTTATGGATTTAGAAAAGGCATATGACAGAGTGGATAGGGGAAGAATGTGGCAGATGTTGCAAGTGTATGGAATAGGTGGTAAGTTACTAAATGCTGTAAAGAGTTTTTATGAGGACAGTGAGGCTCAGGTTAGGGTGTGTACAAGAGAGGGAGACAACTTCCTGGTAAAAGTAGGTCTTAGACAAGGATGTGTAATGTCACCATGGTTGTTTAATATATTTATAGATGGGGTTGTAAGAAAAGTAAATGCTAGGGTATTCGGGAGAGGGGTGGGATTAAATTATGGGGAATTAAATACAAAATGGGAAGTGACACAGTTACTTTTTGCTGATGATACTGTACTTATGGGAGATTCTAAAGAAAAATTGCAAAGGTTAGTGGACGAATTTGGGAAAGTGTGTAAAGGTAGAAAGTTGAAAGTGAACATAGAAAAAGTAAGGTGATGAGAGTATCAAATGATTTAGATAAAGAAAAATTGGATATCAAATTGGGGAGGAGGAGTATGGAAGAAGTGAATGTTTCCAGATATTTGGGAGTTGACGTGTCAGCGGATGGATTTATGAAGGATGAGGTTAATCATAGAATTGATGAAGGGAAAAAGGTGAGTGGTGCATTGAGGTATATGTGGAGGCAAAAAATGTTTTATCTATGGAGGCAAAGAAGGGAATGTATGAAAGTATAGTAGTACCAACACTCTTATATGGGTGTGAAGCTTGGGTTGTAAATGCTGCAGCAAGGAGGTGGTTGGAGGCAGTGGAGATGTCCTGTCTAAGAGCAATGTGTGGTGTAAATATTATGCAGAAAATTCGGAGTGTGGAAATTAGGAGAAGGTGTGGAGTTAATAAAAGTATTAGTCAGAGGGCTGAAGAGGGTTTGCTGAGGTGGTTTGGTCATTTAGAGAGAATGGATCAAAGCAGAATGACATGGAGAGCACATAAATCTGTAGGGGAAGGAAGGCGGGGTAGGGGTCATCCTTGAAAAGGTTGGAGGGAGGGGGTAAAGGAGGTGTTGTGGGCGAGGGGTTTGGACTTCCAGCAAGGGTACGTGAGCGTGTTAGATAGGAGTGAATGGAGACAAATAGTATTTGGGACCTGACGATCTGTTGGAGTGTGAGCAGGGTAATATTTAGTGAAGGGATTCAGGGAAACCGGTTATTTTATATAACCGAACTTGAGTCCTGGAAATGGGAAGTACAATGCCTGCACTCTAAAGGAGGGGTTTGGGATATTGGCAGTTTGGAGAGATATACTGTGTATTTTTATACGTATATACATACTTCTAAACTGTTGTATTCTGGGCACCTCTGCAAAAACAGTGATTATGTGTGAGTGAGGTGAAAGTGTTGAATGATAATGAAAGTATTTTCTTTTTGGGAATTTTCTTTCTCTTTGGGTCACCCTGCCTCGGTGGAAGACGGCCAACTTGTTGAAAAAAAAAAAAAAATTCAGAGTGGCAACAAAAGCTAGCTACTGCATATTTTCTTGCCATATTCCATCAAGTAGGACTCATACAAGGTGTTGAAATCCATTAGCCTCAGCTGGGAGACTTCGGTGGGGAAATAATGATATTATCAGGCATTTCAGTAAGGATTCATCAGCTATGGGAACTTCGAAGGTTTCTTGTCAGCATAGCTAGATTTACTATCATTTGAGAATTGCTATTTCTCAGGACAACCTAACCCATACACAGGAGAAATTGAAACTTTTATGAAGATATCTCCATCATCCCAGAGTAAGAGCAAGAGAAACTGTACACAGAAGGCAGAGAAAAGAAAAAGGAGTAGAGGAAGACAAATACAGATATTATAAGATATCCAACTACATTTTTTTTTTAACATGTTGGCCATTTCCCGCCGAGGCAGGGTGACCCAAAACGAAAAAAACAAAACAAAAAGAAAAAAAACTTTCATCACCATTCAACACTTTCACAATCATTTGTACATAATCACTGTCTTTGCAGAGGCACTTAGATATGACAGTTTAGATGTCACTCCAAACAGCAAATATCCTAAACCCCTCCTTTAGAGTGCAGGTATTGTACTTCCCACCTCCAGGACTCAAGTCTGGCTAATTGGTTTCCCTGAATCCCTTCACAAAATATTACCCTGCTCACATTCCAACAGCTTGTCAGGTCCCAAAGCCATTCGTCTCCATTCACTCCTATCTAACACACTCACGCATGCATGTTGGAAGTCCAAGCTCTTTGTCCACAAAACCTCCTTTACCCCCTCCCTCCAACCTTTCCTAGGATTACCCCTACCCTGCCTTCCTTCACCTACAGATTTATATGCTTCCAACTACCAGATTTTGCAGATCAGACACAATTTTTTTTCCGTAAAATGTCTCTAAAAACCACCTTGCATCCTAAAAACTGAAGGTCAGTGATGGGAGCTATAAGTTAGGGGTGTGGGGTGAGCTGTAGCTCTCCCAGTTACGTCCGATGCCGACCCATTGAAACTAAAACAAGTGTTATGAGCCGCATCTTATAAGCCATGAAATACAGCTTGGGTAGCTTTAAGAAGAGATTGGACAAGTATATGAGTGGGAGGGGCTGGGTTTGATTGGTGTCATTGGGTATGGGAGTTATTTCTTGGGTAGCTTTAGGTAGAGGTTGTTTTGATAAGGACCTGCCTCGCATGGGCCAGTAGGCCTTCTGCAGTGTTCCTCCATTCTTATGTTCTTATGTTCTTAAATATACATTAACAGATAACAATTCAGAAACATTATAAGCCTAAGAAAATATAGTGGTGCCAATCTTTGTTTTATATATAATATATAAAAAGATACATCACATCAGCAGTGATAGAACAATGAGACGAGTCACAACTCACAAGAGGTAGTGGAATACTTTACAGCCACTGGAAACTAAACAATTATACGATAGATTAACCCTTAAACTGTCCTTATGTAGATCTACGTGCATGTGCATAGCGATCCGAACGTAGATCAACGTTTTATTTTTCATTCACTCAAATTTGGTGCGATATGCCTGAGTCGCTTAGACATGAGAGAATGGGTCTGTGCACTCAGTGTGTGCAGTATGAAAAAAAATCGTGGACCACTTAGTACCTTGTGGGAGCACCAGTTCAATTGAACACCAGCTAGAGAAAATAGCATGGCAAACATGTTTTTTTGGCTGTCTGTATCTGTCTATATCTCTATCTATATCTCTGTCTATATCTGTCTATATCTCTGTCTCTCTCTCTTTCACATGTGCACATAAGTACAATTATACATAGTGTAAATTACCTAGGATAACCCAAAAATTCCATGCAAAGTGCTATACAGTGTGTGTAGATATGACATAAATCACTTGCAGCCGAGCGCTCCCTGAGACAGAGAAAAGCAGATAGAAAGACAGACACACACAGGCAAACAGAAAGACACATAAGCAGAGCTAGACAGATAGATAAGCAGCACTAAACAGAAAGACAGACAGACAGACAGGCAGGCAGACAGACATGCAAGAGTGAAAACAAATAAAATGAGGGTTCCCTGCAGCAGCCCACATTCATTCATCAATGTCACTGCCTTGTCAGTAGTTATCTGACACTTGTCATAACACCATTCTTCAAGGGTTTCATATATACTCCAGCATGTCTAAAACATTGCTGGGACCTATAAATACTTCGTATATATTTCTAGACAATAGTAAATGACCAGGGCAGGTGAAAATGTTCACCTGTTGGTATGACTGTGACTATCTGAGTACTATTTCAGTACCTAATATTAGTGTCAGAACAAAGACTGGCTACGAAATCACAAGAACTATTATAAATTGTAATTATCAGAGCATAAAAATTCTATACGTAAATTAAAATAAAAACGAGAAAAAGGTATATTGGCAATACTTCTGCAAGCAGCAGGACTGATGTTGCCATCAGGTGAGCATCCAGTACCAACTTTGCAGGCTTATATCTCAGTAAGTACTGTCCCTAAAAAATTTTTTTCATCCTACAACATTTATAAAAAATGCACTCTTCATTTAAAAAAAAAATACTTCTTTTTTTCAAAATATTCAGAGCTCTATGCAGGTGAACATATATATACGTTTGGAGAGTTTAAGGGTTAAACTGCAAGAATGGGATACAAACTTAGTATATATCACTGTGGCTTACCTTGATATTCCTGCAGTACAGAAAACTGATCAGCTGGTATCTGACTCTTAATAAGCGCCAAGATATGTGGTACAAACTTCCCTGATGCATGTAACATGTTCCCTGTTACAGACTGGAAGAGTACCAGGCAGGCCAGGTGAAGAGTTACTGGTGCATCAATTGATCCATCAAGCTGCTCCAGAAGACCACTTCGGTGGTTCAGCAACACTTGTCTGTCAAGAGCAGTGTTTTACAACACCAACATTATTATTTTTAATATTATTTTTTTTTTTTTTCAATGTGCTGACCGTCTCGTACCAAGGCAGGCTGCCCCCCCCCCCCCCAAAAAAAAAAAAAAAAAACTTTCACCATCATTATTATTTATTATTTCAAATTGTCATTTCTGTGAAAGGTAGGTTGACTCAAAGAAGGAAACATTTCCCATCAATCATTCAATAGCTTTCTTGCCAGATGTGTGCAGACATCACAATACAAGTGACCCTCAGAACCGCATCATCTCCACTCATCCTTCAGAACATACATCTGGCTAACTTGTTTTCCTAAGTCCATTCATAAATATTACCTTGTTCATACTCAATGGCCAAACCATTTCCAAACAACAATAGCTCTTTTGAAATATACTCTTGCACAATGGAGGTGACCAAATAATATAATACTCAATAATAACCCACAAGGAGACAGAAACTCAGGAGATTAATGATCTGCATATTTCAATCCCCTTCTGGGATCCTCTTCTGCTGAAGAGAATCCCAGAAGAGGGTCAAAATATGCAGATCAATTAATCTCATGAGTTTTTGAAACAGTTTCCACTAATATTTCAAAAAAGGTCAATGGGTTAGTTATGGTCCGATTTCTTTCCTTTTTGGTGTACGTTAAGAAGCATCTTTCTGTCATATATTGCCCAAGTTTCAATAAGATAGCCCAACAAACAACTGAGAAAAAAAAGGTTATTTACCAAAAATCATATATGGCAACCCCAAGCCAGGTACTAGAAGTCACTTTGTCTGACATTTTTGGGTTATCCTAGGTTCTCAACACATATGCTATGTATGATAATAAATGTAGAGAAAATAGCTTGTTTGTTTCAGTTTTATGGTGCACTACAAGTGTCTATCACAGTTAACCCTGTGCTATACTCTGTTTTCTCTAATATAAGCCAAAAAATTTCAAAATACGAAAATTCCTTCATGTATTTCCTTGCAAGTTTACAATGTGGTTCACATATTTTAGGAAGTACAGTGAACCCTTGGTTATCAGCTGTTCTGCTTATGGGCCATATTGGTTATCAGCCGATTTTTCGGCTTCCGGTTATCGGCCATTATTCCTCTTATTGGCTGTATTTTATACATCAGCACCAGGCGTTTGCATCAGTCTTTCTGTGTCTCTGGGCAAGTGAGGAAGCTTCTGCTTATTCATCTGAACAATACCATTGTTTTTGGTGGTTATTCATTAAGTGCAACTGTGAAATAAGTAACCATGGCCCCACAGAATGTCCCAAGTAAAATACTTTTGGTAAAGAAAGTGAGAAACATGATGGAATTGAAGAAAGAAATTATTGAAAAATATGAGAGTGACCTTCAAGTGCTTGAGCTTGCTAGGATGTATGGAAAAAACAAATCAACTATCACTTCTATCCTGGCAAAGAAAGAACAAATCAAGGAAGCAAGCTGATGTGGAATGTAGCAGGGAAACAGGGAGTGTGGAAGGGAGGCAGGGAGTGTAACAGGGAAACAAGGAGTGTGGGAGGCAGGGAGTGTAGCAGAGAAACTGGGAGTGTGGAAAGGAGGCAGGGAGTGTAGCAGGGAAACAGGGAGTGTAGAAGGGAGGCAGGGAGTTAGCAGGCATCCAAGGAGTGTAGATGGAGGAAAGGGGAGTGTAGCAGGGAAGGAGGGAGTGCAGCAGGCAGGCAGGGAGTGTAGCAGGGAAACAGGGAGTGTGGAAGTGAGGCAGGGAGTGTAGTAGGCATGCAAGGAGTGTAGCATGGAGGGAGGGAGTGTAGCAGGGAGTGTAGTAGGGAGGCAGGGTGTAGCAGGGAGTGTAAAAGGAAGGCAGGGAGTGTAGCAGGCATGCAGGGAGTGTAGCATGGAGGGAAAGTGTAGCATGGAGGGAGGGTGTAGCAGGGAGTGCAGGAGAAAGGCAGAGAGTGTAGCAGGAAGGGAATGTAGCACGGAGGCATGGAGTGTAGCAGGCAGGCAGGAAGTGTAGCAGGGAGGGAGGGTGTAGCAGGGAGGGAAGTAACCCCAGAGAGGGCTTTGATATCTGAAGTCCTTATGAAGAGGGATTCCCCTTCCAAACAATAATCCCTACTCCCTCTATTCTCCTCTCTATCTTCCAAAAGCCAAGAAGAGTCTTCAATAAAGGTATGTAATACTGATTTAATTGTTCATGTATTTATTATATTTAGTTCTCATTGTTTTGTGTTGTAAAATTATAATTAATCTTTAAAAAATTATTTTTTGTGTGTTTGAAACGTCTGAAACAGATTAATTGTATCTACATTAATTCTTATGGAAATGTTGTTTCGGTTTTAGGCCATTTTGCTTTTAGGCCGAACTTCTGGAATGGATTACAGCCAATAACCAAGGGTCTACTGTATATTTACATAGGTAGTTTACAGTGAGGGTTTACAATGATTTGTAGTGCAAGAGAGCCACTATCATGCCTTGGCATTACGGGCAGTCTAAACTTAATACGTTATTGATAACTTAACACTAGATGTACAAAACATAGTTTGATAAGGCTGCACTAATTATGCAATAGGTTATACATCTCTTAAATGTTTGTTATTCAACATTTGCATTAGGTTAAAATATGAGAATTTATTGTACTTAGAGCATTTACTTATGGGGTTCTGAGGCAAGACTGGGATAGGAGAATGGTACTTGTATCCCACGTCCTCTTCATACCTCCGTTGAACCGCCCAGTATTATGCCAATTATTATTCATTCTGGAGTATTTAACATGTTTTTATATTACTGATATTATTTATTATGTCATACTAGATCAACTGTGATAGGCAAATAAGCTGTAGTGTTGATATTAGCATAATAATAAAGCATATTCACCTGCATCAAGAGACTGAGCTCATGGCAACCAACAGTGGCTTTAAAGCCACCTTATCTTTTATGGACAATGTACTGTGAATGTGCTTTACACAATGAGAAGCATTTCTTTTATTCGTTGGAACCAAGTCTCGAGCTAAAAGCAAGCAGGTTAAAACAATAAATGGAGAAAAAGAAATTGGAATGACTTATGCAGCAAGTAACGCCACCAAACAGTACCAGCAGGTTGGTGTGGCGATCCTGGAAATTTTAAATTATGCTAGCTGAAATTAGTGTCGAATAACTGATTGAACCGGATATCTGATTGCCAGATTTGTGATGGCGGACCTGTATAACTGTTTATCATTAAATTGAATTATTATAATTCTTATGCTAAATTATCTTGTGTTTTTTTTTCACAATCATATTTAGAGACTAATAGCTATTATCCAACCTCAGCTCATTTCAAATCCAAGCTTAATTGAAGATATACTACCACTCCATGGATATGACCCAAAAGTAAACTAGAACCCAGGTGCCTATTTACTGCTGTGACCACGAACTGCTGTAAGGAATTTGGTATGGATGACAAAATATTTCTTCTTTCAACAAACTGGCAGTATCCCACCAAAGCAGGATGGCCCAAAAAGAAAAACAAAAGTTTCTCTTTCAACTTTTAGTAATGTATACAGGAGAAGGGGTTACTAGCCCCATGCTCCCAGCATTTTAGTAGCCTCTTACGACACACATGGCTTGCAGAGGAAGAATTGTGTTCCACTTCCTGCAACAGCAGCGGCCTCCAAGCTCCATATTTTTCTTCAACAACCAGAGCCACCAATGCTCCTATGATGAGCTAGTTGCAAGCAAAACTACACTACCCAACGTAGCACCCAGAATGACCAAAGATTACCAATAGTGAAACCTACAAATCAATTATCATAGAGATCAAAGGAAGGCTGCCCTCAAACCCAAAGCAACACCCCGCTGCCAACCGAATAATGCAACCCTAAGCTTTGTATAACTACAACTTCTTCTTCTTAACTACAACAACTGCTGTAGTATTATGAGGCGTAATCTCAGAGGAAACAGCACCAAGGCCAGCAAGAAAACACCGAAAAATCAACTATTCAACAAGTGTACCCAGGACGACGCTGGCTCATCTACCACCCCTCTCACCACCGCCCAGGGCGACACCACAACAATAACACCAAACATGGCTGCCTCCACCTCTCTCTTCTCCGGATTCAACGTACCAAGTAGTCTCTCAGGTATGACCAACGATCCAGATACCCTAAAGTCATGCATCTCCACCTTAGTTATTGAAAATATGAATCTTCGAAAGACACTAACAAAACAAGACACCAGGATGTCACAACTCGAGAACAAAATCCTCAGTCTTGAACAAAAGTTACCAACACCAGGAATGACTAACTATGGCAAGGCCATCCAAACAGTCATAGATAGCCATACAGAACAAATAATATCTCTTAATACAAAGGTTGAGGAAGCAGTAAAAGAATGGAAGAACAACTTGGATAACCAGTTCAGTGACTACTTTGCTCTCCAAGAAGATAAAACTGAGCAAGAAAAACTAGTGGACGCAGTAATAGTTAACAGTCCACTTTTTCCCAGTGATATGAACCAAACAAACAGTAAAGAAATTACTCTCCAGATCATAAAGGACCAAACAAAAGTTACAGTACCAGAGTCAGAAATAAAGGAAGCCAGGTTACTAGGATCCCATGGTAGAAAAAGTGTTATGCTTAGATTCCACTCACATGACAGGAAAAAAGACTTAATTAATGCATCTATTAAAGTAAAGAAAAAGGTTTACATAAACGAGTGTCTCACCAAACAACGTCAGAACCTCCTGTATAGAGTCAGAAAACTTAAGCGGGAGAATAATGACACAATACACCAATGCTTCACACGGAATGGGAAAATTCTAGTTAGGAAAACAAATGTAGGTCAACTGTACACAATCACGAACGAGAATGATCTATCACGATTTCTGAGGGATACTAATCTTATAGAGAATAACTAAACAATGTCCAACCTAAAAGCCTACGTGCAGTGTATGTTTTGCTCCATTATTGTACAAATTTCACAGTACAATCTCTCAGTAATCAAAAAATCAACTACCTCAGTAATGTGATTTTAGTAGTAAGAATAAGTCACCTTATGTT